ATAAAGGAAACACTAAACCAAAATAAAAATCCAATAAAAGAGTTCACGTGAAAATGCATCTCTGGGATACAAGTTTTCTTTATAACATATTGAAATTTTATATAGGAAAGAGTTGTCTAATCATTTTAGAGAATATTTTTTTTTAATTTAATTTTTAAATCACGAAAATATAAAAATCAGCCCAATGTCATTGTATTGGATATATAGATTCAGTTAGAAACAATAATACCCAACTTTAGAAGCAGACAATGGGTTTGAAACTTTGCAATTGAATAAACCTCACTTACTTGGGGCGTTTCCAATTTCCGTCTTCTAAGTGGAAGTACTTAGTAACATGTTTTGGCTGTCCCTCAAAGTTTTTATTTTGATAATCGATGGTAGAGATCTCCCGTGCACGAGATTCCGTCCAACAAAGTTGGCCAACGAAAAACGAGAGTGCAACTTTGGCCCCAAAAACTTGGCTAGCTTGAGTGTATAAAAGACCAAAAAGGAGCCACCAAATGGCAATGCCAAGAAATGGCAAATAGCATCGGAGGCACGACCACTAAATTTATACGACCCACGGCAAAAGCAACAACTGGCAACCGCAACTTATTATATTACACTTTCGACGTCATCGCGCGATGTTGCCGTTGTCATTGCAATAGCAATTGCAATTGCAATGTTGCTGTTGCAGTTGCTGCCGTTTCGGAGTCACTTAAACGAGATAAATCAACGTGGGCGATTACACAATATCTCAGGGTGATTGTCTTCCCTCTGCCCCCCCCTTAACATGACTTGGCGAAAAGTGCAACAGCAACAGTAACAGCCCACAATCAGCAAAAGCAAAAGCTGAAGAAAAAGACTCGCGCCATTGGAGCAGTGGGTCGCTCTTGGGGTCTCGTGGAAATATGTGGAAAAACGTGGAAAACCTGTAAGACAAAAGTCGACAAAATCAATAGCACACACACTCGTTCGCTGGGGCGACACACACTGCAAATAAACAAAAATGATGACAGCAATTGCAGCAGCAACACATATGCAGTTGCTGAAGTAGGCAGTTGTTGTATTTTCAGCTTTATGAGCGATAATTAAAGTTAAATGCCTTTTGCTACGAAGCTGCGGATGTTACTTGCTAGCGCTGCTCATATACTTTTTTTTGTCCATACTTCGCATACTGACGAAGACTGCAATTTGTTTTGTTTTTCTGAAAAAAAAAATAAAATTTTAATGACTACTCTCAGTGGAAGTGCGAGTGGGTACTTTTTTTGTGGTTCACGTTCTCTTCTGGCTTGCAGAATTTAAATTTTAAAACGAGTCAGCGAATCGGGGTCACTGCAAAGAATTAAGTTTGCCACAATCAGAGATCCTAACCGAAGTACGAACAAAATACATGTTTAATTAACCCATAGATACTTTTTTTTAAGCTTCTTGCCAAGATGCAAATGCCAACTTCACATCTCTTCAAAGATTCAGTGAAAAAGTCTGGTGAAAAAACAACGCAAATCAAAATAAACAAAATCATGGAAAACCAAAGGCAACAACAAAATTTCATGTTTTGTGACGGCGACAAAAAATACACACACATAGCAACACAAACAGAAAACAAACAAAATAAATAAATCAAAAAGAGTTCAACGACCAAAAGTTTAAATGATTTCCGACTGCCGACGAAGAGGAGCAACGACGACATCACTCACCAGCCGACGAGAAAACGCGATCTTAGGGGGAGTGGATGTGGGATGTTGATAGGGAGGTCGGTGATGGGGCCAATTGACAAAACATTCGCGACGCGTTAAGCATACTGAGAGATACAGATACCGTAGCCCCGATAGCACATAGATTGTATTTGATATGGATGGAAGCAGAACCAAAACAGAAAAAGGTAACCTCAAGCAGAAGCTAGCCATCATTAAGGGTTTAAATACTTGAACTAGGGATGGATGAAAAATCAGAAAGCAGTATCACTTAATTTCATAACGATCGGATCATTACAACAACAATAAATATCACTTTATTAATAAAATAAATGTAAATTTAAGGGCGTTTTCTCGTCCACATTGTAAAGTTTTGTTAAATGAACATTCAACAAGTATTCAAGTTTATTTTGCATTCGACTATAGGAAAAGATTTTAAATCCAAAAGATTCGAAAATTTTATGATTCATCATTCATTTTCTTAGTCGTGACTTATTTGAAACGCCATGGGTCTGGAAAAGTCAAACAAGTGTAGAGCAGATTGTTACATCCCAGTTTGAAGTTTAATTTTGCCCCGAATGAAAATGTAGTAGTATCTTCATCTGCATCTATATATCTATATCTCAATGCAGCCAGGAAGCCGCCGACATTTGCTCAACCGCCCACGCGCCGCACATTGAAAATCAGCAGCTACTGCTACTGCGGCTCATCAGCCGCCATTTGAGGCTGATAAATGAACGCATGTTGTGCGTATCTGCCAGATACAAATGCCTGCAGTCCGTTGCGGCCTTTGCTTTTTCTTTGTTTCTCCTCTACCGCGCTGCGCATTTTTAATGAGCGGAAATTAGTTGGCATTGCGGCAAGATGTTTTTGTGGCTGCCCATTTAAGTAGATACAAATGTATCTGTAGGCCATAAATTCACAATCTACAAGGCGCGTGCCTCGTGGGCTCTTACAAGACTAGCTTCTCATAGGTATGTGCGTTTATTAAACCGATTACTTGTCATATAAATTTAGCGCAAATCGGTTATTATCGTTCTCCAGATCTTGTTGCTCATTCGGGTATTTGATTAATGCGTTGATTATGCCTCGGATGGTCTGGCTATTTCAGTCTTTTTCTGTTGAGTATCTTGCGGATCACACTTTTGGCTCACTTTTTGGCAGTGCACGGCGTATATATATTTAGAGTATCCGCTTTTAGCTCAGTCTTGGCACAGCCAGCCAGTTTGCAAATACACTCTTGCATTTCCGTTTATAGCCAGCCAGTGCATCGAAGAGATACATTTGGCATCTTGCATTGTTGGGCCATTTAATGATTGTGCATTTAAGATTGAAATAGGTAGAAGTAAAATTGTATTGATTGTTTGCCCAGCTTTTCTTACAGTCCCATAGGATAAATCTCCCCCACACGGTTACAAAATAAAGGCAAGTTGGTATTCAAAAAGTAACAGCCACTGATTTGAAGTATCCAAAGCTTTCATTTCTTTTTGGAGATAGTTGCCGTATTAAAATGTGAAAACATATAAGAAAACGATGTATAGTTCAGCATAGTGTTCTTCAACTCTATTTTAGTCTAGTTGTCCAATTCCATATTTTAAAACCCTTCTAAGTTGTGAGAGTCAGTATATTTTTGCCTAAGTATTAGCTAAGACATTCCAGCTAAGTCATTCACCCCAAATGTAACCCTGCTATTAGCAAGGACCCGATCCTCACACCAAAATACCCGAAAATACTATACTTAGGGATTTTGGGATTTCATGCATAGGGGAAAGTGGGGCGATTTCGTCACTGGGGCAACTATGTCACCTGCAATAATAAGTCGTAAAAATATATAATTTTGTTGTTTTAGTGCATTACCGCTGCAGCGGTAACATTCTTGCATCCGTGACACGCCAGCGCGACGCCCAGAATCCGCATAAGCGCGACGCCTGGATTAAACATTTCATCATCGCCACGCCTGAATCTACATAAAGGATCTCTGTAAAGGCACACACCGCGTGAAGTGGATCTTTTCTCCTTTCCACGCCTTGACTCCCATACTGTTCGTCATACCGGACCTAGTTTATCAGCGTCCAACCGCAAGCGGCATCAAGAAGCGCCGTCTCCGCCTTACCAAGCCCGTGTGAGGTTTTCATCGTGCAAAAACTGCACCAAAACCGACAGGTCGGATCCAGTCGGACGAAATTCGGACGAATCTCACCGGCACCGATTCGACAAAATCCGCGCAAGCACGCGCAAACACGAAGTGTCATTCCAATTGGAATTTCAGTTTCAATTCTGGTTCCAGTTCACTTTGGCCGGGGCTGCCAACTTGTTCTTTGTATCGCATTAAGTAAAAGTAGTTTAGTTTTCTCTATTTCCAACACATTTAAGATAAGATTCTAATTTACTTTACGATTCCTATTTAGCAACATTATTTCGTGTGTGCTTATGATATAGATTGACATATATAACCATTACATAAACACTTCAAAGTTCTACAGCACACATCGATCGTCATCAGGCATGCTGACTTCGTTGGAGAGTTCGTAAGTACGGCATAGCCGTCAAATCATTTGACTTCCTTTACCTATATATTCATTCTTGTCTGAGCCCACACACTTTTGATAAATATATTTACCTATCTATAATCATATAGTCGTTGTCATATATAAGAGAATTAAAGAAGAACGTTTGCCTTTGATTAACGTAAAGTAATCGGCCTCAGGGCCTCGGATTGAATAAGAATATCGTATATCGATAACAACTACAATTTAACGTAAATTAAATATCCCTTTTCTTTATCGTCCTTATAGTACATACAATCACGACCGAATAGAGAGTCGCTTAACGTAGACAACGTTTAGTCTTAAGGACTTAGTTTTATTATTATTAGTATTAAGAATGGACCATATTATCGTATTTGGAGAATTAAAGATGAAGTTTAATATGAATTAAATTGTTATCTTTTGAGGGCCCCTAAGAGAATGTAGCGCAGCGGTTGTTTAAGTGTAGAGTCTGATGAGGCTTTACAGGTAGGGTGGGTATAAAAGGAGGCCATTACCAACTGGGCCTCCATCTTCGATAGGTACACTCTCTCGTCCGAATCTTAGCCGTTGGGTTTAAGTTCTTATCGTTATCGTTTCTCTGTCTACTACTGTTAGTTCTGTGACCTCTTGTTCTATCTTAACACAAACCCACACCCAGCTCCCTGAGTACTCCGGTCGAAACGTAGACAGAGGTGTTAGGGTGGACAACGCTCATCGAGTGTGTTCGTTACAAAGTCAATGAGATTTGATTTGTACACTATTTCCGCATTATAATCAAACAATGCACTCAACTCACCTGTCTGATGACTCTGATGAATCGTATCGATCCAGACACCGTTTCTTTGATCCCTTCGTTGTTCTTGCAGATGTTCCCACAACTGTGGTTGTCGTTTTGCCGGCTCCAACTCGCGTTGTTGTTGTTGTTGTTGTTGCTGCAGTCTTCCTGGCGCCCTGATAGAGCTGAGATCGCAATGCGTTTATATCCAATTTGGCTGCTTCGACCACGCCCCCCGCCCCTCTTTTCGTGCCCTGCACGATGCCAATGCTGCTGGGCGTGCTGAAGGGTCGCGCGGGTTTCGCCGGGGGTTTCAGTTCAATATTCGAAGACGAAGAGGGGGCGGTGGGGGCTGGCAACAGTGTGGCAGTGGGTGTGGCAACTGCTGTTTTTGATGTTGCTGTAGGTGGTGGTGTTGCCTCTGGGTTGTTGTTGTTGCCGACGCCGGCGCCAATTGTCAAACTGTTTAAATTGACGCTGTTTTTCAGCTGATCAAACAATGACAAAGCCGCGCTGGAGGTTAAAGTTTTCCTCCCCGTCCCCGTTGCTATTGTTGTTGCTTTGGCGCTGGGTGGTGGGGGCAGAGGGACTGGAGCTGCTTCAGCTGCCGTTTCCTTAGTCTTTAATGCCGCATCCTTTGGCTGAGTGGCTGACATTTTCCCTCGCTTTGTTTGCCGTGCGCCTTGAAACTATTTCCCTTGTTTTAATGCTGTAACGATGCGCTCAATTGCTCTTTACTGCTGCCATTACTCCTGCTAACCACTACTTGCTATTTTCTTCGGTTTTATTGTTAGTCGACTGAAAGCCGATTTTAATTGCTTTAATCTGAACGTTCTTCGTCAGCAATTCTAAACCGCACTGCCTTTAAATGGTACTAGCATTTCGATTTTCCCCATCAGTTTGCACAAATTGGTATTTAAATTTCGCCATGAACTTGCACTTTTCCGGCTTTTGTGGGTCGTCGGGCTCTCGAGTTACGAGTGCTGGAAATATTTATACAAATTAAACAGAAATTCATTTAAATCAATTGCATTTTTGGCCTTTTCGTATTTCACATTTGGCTGCACTTCACTTCTGAACACTTATGACACACATTTTTCGTTTCGATTGATATTTCAGACGCGAAATCACTGGATCAGCATTTAATTAATCAACGCTGCGAGATATATTTTCTGGTCTTGCGTGGGTTTTCGGGATTTTCGGGCTCCGTTATCAAGTGTTTCACTGTGCTTTATGGCTTTGTGAATGGCTGATTGTTATTTCGATTTCGTTTGTTTCCGGTGCACACCCGAAACTCATTCTGCAAGACTGGCAAAAACGCGAGATTCGCGAATTCAAGAAAGCGGCAATGAATCCGAAACGGGTAAGTCAGGTTAACCGGTTGCCGCACAGCTTTTGTTTAATGACAACAATGACGGGGCCAACAAACAAATCGCAATCTAATCAAATGCATTCCACGGTGCCACTCGTCACTGGGCAAACTAGTGTTTTGCTTATCGCGGGGCCAACTTGTCCGGCGAGCTATGTATAATAGCGACCTACTACTAATTAACACAGTGGCTACTGCTACTGCCTTTAATTGCCGCCAATTGCCGTGTAACCAAATCAAACAGAGTCAAAGAAGCGCTGCACTGCAAACTGCGAATTCCGGAACCCCATCGATTGGCAAGCGAAAAACTGCGATCTCCACACGAAAAAAGCTGCGGGCTGCTCTTGCTCTGCCTGCCGACTGACTGGCGAGTGGGGCCGAGTGGAGTGGGAGTGCCCCACAGCCCCAACCGAAGTGCCAGCCGACGAGGGCCGAAGTGGCGGGCCGATGGCCAGCCGAAGCCGCTAACCAACTAGAACCGGGCACAAATCAAGATACGAAGCACGCGAGGCAAGAACGAAGGCAACGAACTGACGTTCGTGCTTGCTTTTTGGCGCCCAACGTGGGGCGGAGGGTCGGAGTGGTGGAAGGAGGGAGGAGGCAGCGTGCAGTGTGTTCACTTTTGATTTCTGTGCAGCGGCAGCAGGTTTTTGAGAGAGCGGCTATGAGAGGGGGGCGTTGAGTTTGGGGTAAACTGGGAACGGGAGCGGGAGCGGGAGAGCTTGTTGCGCCACAATGTGTGTTCCTCTCCGTGTGTTTGTGTGTGCGTTTGAACTTCTGGGGAAGTTCAGCAATTCGGTATTTGGGTATTTCAGCATTTGGTGCTTTGGTAGCAGGGCAGTAACTTCCGAGGTGTTTGCGGGTGTTTAAGTAGGTGGCAAGTTCACTCACACACACACGTGCGGTCAAGCTGCAGCTACCTGTTGATATGTGTGGGAACTAATCAGAATACGAAAGGTTCCTGCGGTTCAGCAAAGCTCGAAACCGGTTCACCCAACCGAGCATAATGGTTATATGGGAACTTGACTTGGGCTCCAATTTGAAGCCAAACACAGATGTGTGGACAATATGCACCCATATTCAATGCCTCGGTTAATTCTCTTATGGCCCCCACTCATTTCATAAAGCCAAAAAAGTCAAGAATTATAAAGCAAAAAAAACACGAGGCTTGTATGAAAAAGAAACAGAAAAAGTAAACAAAGCTAAGGCAAAAACCAAACAATAACAAAACAAAAGCAAACCAGAGAGGAGAGAGAACTCACGAATACTCTTCCAAAATCGCAACTGTTATCAAAAACCGAAGAGCGGACAAAGAGAGGAAAGAGTGATCGGTTTACTCACACAACGAGCAAAGTCACGTCATGAAAGCAAAAACAAAGCGGTCGGAAACTGTGCTGTGGGAGGGAGGGAGACAGGGTGGGAAGGGGTGGCGGGTGGTAGCAAGAAATCAAACACAACACGTGCTTTTATTACGTTACTAGCAAGTGTGCGTACGTATGTGTGATGCAACTGTGGGGGAATGCAAAAACGGGTGGGACAAAGACGACGCATGTTTACGAGAGCCTTTTGCGGGTGTGTGCGAGTGCGACATAACTCGTTTTGGTGGCCACTTTTTTGTTTTTATTCCGCTAAGAACATTTTGATTCTTATTGGACTTTCTACACTGCAGCGAAGATGAGAATGTGGTGCCAAGAGCATTTAGTTAAAGCACTGAATACCGAGAACATTTTTATCATTTCCGGTGTTTACAACACAGAAGCTCTTAATGGAAAATGTTTGATCCCTAACCTCTCGAAACCAATGAGAATCTGAATCACTACGTTAAACATTCAATGTTATATTAGACATGCACGAAATGTCCAATCGAACAAGAAATTCACGATACGCGAATGCACTGCGTGAGAGCGAGAAGCGAACTAAGTTTGCGTTTTGCATTTGGCAATGCATTTTCCGCAAAGCTACATACATATGTATGGATGTATGCATGTACATACTTAGGTGCAGCAAAGAGAGAGAAGCAGAGCGAGACAGAGATAATAAGAAAGGGAAAAATAACTTCAGAGCATTGGAAAGAGAAGAAAAGTAATGCCAATGCATTTTTTCTTTTTTTACTCAAAACTTGTAAATGGTCATGCATACTTTAAAATTTGGATTATTTATTTGAAATTCTCAAATTTACATAAAGTTATTAGCATTGATCAATTAAAATCTCAGCAATTTGTGAGAGAGCGATTAAAAACGTTTATTTACAAGTGATCTTAGCTAGTCATAGCAGCCTGCTTTGGTCAGTGAGCAAGTTGAAGCAAACAGTGATACCTTTTTATCTTTTTTCTAGCGAAGGTTAAAACCTAGAGCCAACAACAACTTTTAAACCAATCAATCCACCGAGATTAATAATTTGATTTTGTTAGAAATGGAAGAACGATTTTTTTTGACTAACTAACTGTCGTACGTGTCGTATGAGTCATTTTTAAGGAAACATTAAAGCCAATTCGCAAGGCCTAATTCTTAAAAATTTGTACTTTTCAAATACATTTTTGGCACTTTAGTATACCCTGTCAAGGGGTGAGAATAAGATTTCATTTTTGGACCGCCCTAATATACACACCCAATCAACTCACATGGCGTATGAGTGATATTGTCAACCACTGTGAAAAATCAATTTTTATACCCGTTACTCGTAGAGTAAAAGGGTATATTAGATTCGTGCAAAAGTATGTAACAGGTAGAAGGAAGCGTTTCCGACCCTATAAACTATATATATTCTTGATCGGGATCACTAGCCGAGTCGATCTAGCCATGTCCGTCTGTCCGTCTGTCTGTCTGTATGAACGCTGAGATCTCGTAAACTATAAAAGCTAGAAGATTGACATTTTGCATGCAGATTCTAGGAGTTCCTACGCAGCGCAAGTTTGTTTCAAAAGGGTGCCACGCCCCTTCTAACGCCCACAATCGATTATATACGATTTTAAAAATTTCAATATTTTGGAAAAGTAAAAATGCAGTTTTATTGTGTTTATCAATACCTATCGAAATGTAGAAGAAATTTTTTAAATCGGACCATTCGTTAAAAAGTTACGGCGGATCAAAGTTTTTCTCCATCTCTTTCGCACTCCCTTTAGCTGAGTAACGGGTATCTGATAGTCGGGGCACCCGACTATAGCGTTCTCTCTTGTTATTTGTCATATCATGTCGTATGCTGGTATCATTAATCTATCGTAAATTGGACACGTTGTATTGTGCCTGACCTGTACAAATAACGCTTTATTTGCGTCATCTTTTCTCCATGACTATTACTGTAAATAAAACGATAATGCTAAAATTACCGCGCTCTCTTCAGCATTACTAAGCACTTTACCCGGCATAGGAACCCTGAATGAAATATTGGTTTGCAACTTTATCTATCGGTTTTGTTTTGGTAGTCATTGTGCATGTGTTAAAATTGTTTGGTGATAGAACCCAGAGCTTCAGCCACTTAGACGCAATAAAAAAAGCTTTCGAAATGTTTATATACCTCATGGTTTAGTCGACACTTTTCAGTTTTCATTTCGCGTTGGACATATCAAGTCGTTTAGAACTAAAGTTTCTTTCTACGATTATTGTATTAAAGGTGTTTTTTCGTCATTTATAAAATTTCTTTATTGTCATAAGTTTGAAATTATAACTCGACAAGTGCAATCTGATCGATAACCATGCTATTAACAATAGCCCTATTAGGCCTGGTCCTATATTTGGCCTATAGTTTTTACTACAACACCTACACCTACTGGGCCCGGAGAGGAGTGCCCTCCGAACATCCCTTGCCCCTCATTGGCAATATGTTGGGGATGGGTACCAAATACAATTTTCGGGACATTAACCAAAGGATCTACGACAAGTTCAAGGGAAAGGCACCTTTTGCCGGACTGTTTATGTTCTTCAAACGAACAGCTCTTATCACTGATCTGGATCTGATCAAACAAGTCCTTATCAAGGACTTCCATTACTTTCAAGATCGCGGCGTTTTCAAGAATGTCCGTGATGATCCCTTGACGGGACACCTTCTCACTTTGGAGGGTGATGCGTGGAAATCGATGAGGCAGAAGCTGACTCCGGTCTTCAGTTCCGGGAAAATGATGCTGTGAGTGCTGCCAAGGTGGACGATGGCGATGTGGAAATAAAGGACCTCTGTGCCCGGTTCACCACCGATGTGATTGGATCGTGTGCTTTTGGCCTGGAGTGCTGTAGTCTCAAAGATCCCAATTCCGAGTTCCGAACCATGGGAGGCACGATCTTCACTAAGTCCCGGCATCCGATGTTCGTGACTGCGTTTATCTTTACCAATCCCAAGTTGGCCAAAAAGTTGAGGATGAAGGTAATACGCGATGATATCACCGACTTCTTTATGTCAGCGGTAAAAAGCACTGTCGACTATCGCTTGAAAAATGGCGTAAAGCGAAACGACTTCATCGGTCAGTTAATAGAGCTCCGTGCCGAGGACGAAGAGGCGGCTAGAAATGGCAAAGGAATTGATTTTTCTAAGGGCTTGACTTTTGAGCAAATGGCTGCCCAGTCTTTTGTATTCTTCATAGCTGGATTCGAGACTTCATCGAGTACGATGGCCTTCTGTTTGTACGAACTTGCTCTGAATAAGGATATTCAAGATAAGGTCAGGGATGAAATTGAAAGTGTACTTGATGGGGAAGAGATGTCCTACGACGACATAGTCAAAATGACCTATTTGGAGCAGGTGAGCTGGTGAGTATAATACTTTGATGGCATAAAGAAAGTCCTCAAATAGTTTTTACCTTTAACAGAAACCCTCCGAAAACATCCTATAGTTTCTCAACTTTTCCGTGAATGCAATCAGAACTAAAAAGTACCCAACACAGAACTTGTTATCGAGAAGGGAACTTCCGTCATGATACCTGTGCACAACATTCACCACGATGGTGATTTGTATCCCGATCCCGAACGCTTCGATCCCAGTCGCTTCGAGCCGGAGGAAATAAAGTCTCGCCATCCGTTTTCCTATCTGCCATTTGGAGATGGACCCCGCAATTGCATCGGCCTCCGCTTTGGTAAAATGCAAGCCAAGATTGGTCTGGTCTCTTTGCTGCGTCGCTTCAGGTTCGACATTTCAAAGAGAACCGAGATCCCATTGATTTTAGACACTCGCACCCCCACTCTTTCCACCAAACATGGCATTCACCTGAAAGTGGAGCGTATCTGAATATCTTATTACCGGGAAGAGTAAACAATTGATCTTTGCAAAAATATTTTTAAAATTGTAAATTTATATTATGAGTTGAAAATAAATATTTTTTGCTCTTTAAATAAATAATATTTTTAATAATATGAAACTTTATCGATGGACTAAGATTTCAATAAATTTTAACTAGAGAAGGATGTTAGCTAGATCGAGAAGAATCTCCAAAAGAATCTTCATTATTCAAAAGCATCGGTAGTCAACTTGGAGGGAGTTTTCCTAGTGACAGAAATGCCCCAACACCAACAAGTTGTTGCTTTCAATCGGTTCGCACCGATATTTGTGGATTGTTCACCGGATGCCAAGAGCATCGGTGGTTCAGTGGTAGAATGCTCGCCTGCCACGCGGGCGGCCCGGGTTCGATTCCCGGCCGATGCAAAATAATTTTTTTTACTCCATCAGTTTAGATTAGTTCTTAAAAAAGAACTTAATTAAATTAAATTGCCCACTGTACATCTGGTGGTACAGTGGAACATTGGGCGAGCGGTTCTGTATCGACTCCGTGGCGCAACGGTAGCGCGTCCGACTCCAGATCGGAAGGTTGCGTGTTCAAATCACGTCGGGGTCATTAGGTTTTCTTTTTATTTTATTTAAAGAAAAAAAATTAACTTCGTCGAACAAATTAGTTCCTGGTTTTAAGGTTTTAACTATAAATACCTCTGCAATATAAAAGGGAAATACGTGCCGTTTAAATACACATGCAAGTGATATTTTTCGCTTTTTATTTTATAGTATCCGATAATATAGGTATATTTGAATTGTACATTATTATGCGTGTACCTAGAATCTGCGCATTAGAAACAATCTGAGTTTTAAATATACTCTTAAAACTAAATACATAACAAAATAATAAACATTTCAAGTTTTGCGATTGCTGATTTGTTTATGATCGGGCTTCAACATCCACACAAGCTCCCCTGTCAATTTCCTGTCCATACAATCCGTTTCCTTTGCTAATTATTTACTATATCTGTGTGTATCTGTTGCTTCACGTAGTCCTTGGTAGTTGTGGTTCCTATTGTTCGATAAGTTAAATTACGCGAAATGAACTGAATCTGATTTTAAAAGCGACCGACCCACTTTCGTCAACAAATGCTGCGTAATCTCAGGTTAAAAAGGGTAAAATTTTCGCATGTATGGAGTTACACTTAAGTTACTTGGTAAGGAAAATCATAAATTACAGTTTATCTTGAATTTGCTCAAAGATGCGTTTGTTTCTTTGTTGATCTGTCTGTCGCCTATGCATCGGCTTCGGTTTCGGCAACGGCGGAAGCAGCTTGTGTTTTGGGTTCCTCTGCAGATGGAGCATCCGTTTGGAGTTCAGCAGCCGGCGCTGGAACGGGATCCTCTTTGGGCGCAGCCTCTGTGTGAATGACTTGCGGCTCCGGGCGGGGCGAAGAAGCTGCAGCTTCCCTCGAGGACTCAGCTTGGGCCTGAGGGACCGCTGGCGGTGGCAGCTCGTCGTAGAGGGGCGTGCAGGCGGCTGGAGCATCGGTTTGTGATTTCTGAACCTCAGAATCGCTCGCCACATCAGCTGGCTTGGCAAAGCTCTGAGTCTCCGCTGGAACCTTTTCCTGCGGCGGACTGTTTGCGGTCTGCGAAGCATTTTCTCCTGGCTTCTGGGCCTCCATTCTCGCCTCGTAGTCCTGAAGCTCCTGATCCCAGTCCTCCTCGGTGTCCACCCTAGTGGTCGTTGGTGGCGCTTCTTTGTTGGCGTTAGCTAATGCGTTTCCAGCATTTTTAGGACGCGACTCCGGTTCGCCGCCAGTCGGCTTGCTGCCCTCGTCCGCGGAGCTTATTGAATGACGATTGCTGTCGTCTCGCGAGCCGCGTCTGTTTCCAAAGCCTGGACGTTCGCGATCCTCACGCGGTCCTCCGCGACCGCCTCGTGGATTGTTACCGCGACGATCGTCCATCATTTCGCCCCCGCGATCGCCACGGAATCGATTGCCGCCAGGACCGCCACCTGGACCGCCACGTTGCCGCTTGAAGTTGTTTCCACCCTCGTCTTCATCGTCGCTCCAACGTCCGCGTCCACCAGGGCCGCCGCCTCCTCCTCCGCCCATGCCACGTCCTCCACCTTGTCCTCCCCGTCCTCGTTGGTTGTCATTGAAGGGATTCCGAGGGTTGAAGAAGCCTGCAAGTAACAGAGATTTGTTAATCAGAACCAGAATATATTTTACAAAGGGGGGAATTATATATATGTATACCCAGATTCGGGTGTTTTGTATAAAATATATTAATTAAATAAATATCATGCGATTTTAGATTAATATTGTAAACAGGTAAGTCAACAGAAAACAAATTGCATCTTTTAATTTTATCCAACTTGCTTTTTTTACATTTATAAGTTTCTTAACATTTCGATCGTTTATTTATGTTTACAAACAATAAGGAAATTAAACTTTATTAAATATTAGTTTAATATAAATCAAAATTCATACATTCGTTAACAAATTAAATGAGTTAAAAATAATCAATTCAAATGCCTTCCCCTCCTTGCGATTTTTGAATTAAAGCTCCATTTCAATCCTCGTTTCTCACCTGGTCCCTGCTGTCGTCCTCCTGGTCCTCCTGGGCCACCTGGACCGCCAGGTCCACCACCTCCTGGTCCACCGCCTCCTGGACCACCGCCTCCTTGGTTTCGCATGAACATGGGCCCAACGCCGTTGCCACCGTTGCCAGCCGGACCGCCCATGCGCTGGTTAAACGAAGCCGGCGGCGGGATGCGCATCTGCATCAGGCTGGTGGGCTGATTGAATCGGTTGTGATTCATGTTGGGCGGGAAAAAGTCGCCTCCTGGGCCACCGTTGTGGTTTCCACGTGGTCCCATTCCCCGAGGTCCACCCGGTCCACCGCGATTGTCAAAATCTGTAAGGAAATATTAGTTAGCATAAAAGCTCTTCATCCTTATTTTCACCACTAACCCATAAAGTCCGGCCGTGGCATTCCGTGATCAATAGGATTTAGGTTGAGTCGCGCTCGTGCCTCGTTGAAGGCTGCGTTTGGTCCGGGTCCACCAGGTCCACCAGGTCCTGGACCACCTCCACCATTTTCGGCGCGCCAACGGTCTGCCGCTTCGACGACGTCATCCCGTCCACCCCAACGCGAGTTGCCCGGGCCGCGAGAACGATCCCTATCCCGGTCTCGCTCCCTTTCCCGTTGCTGGAACATTTCATTGGCCAAGGCCGCCGGCGAAAGCTCGACATTGTTGGGCGACGGATTGAAGTTAGCCTGCTGTTGCGGCGGCGGAGGTGGGGCGTCCTCCAAATCCATCTCAATGTCCATTTGATCATCGCTCACGTTGCCACTATTGGCAGACGACGGTCCACCGCTGGGCATAGGAGGTGGCACCGCTCCGGGAGGTGCGAAGGAAGCTCCCGGCGGCAAGGCCATGGGATGCGGTGGTCCCCCAATGCCTACAGGGAAAATTAGATGAGTTTCAAGTTCAAGATTACAAGATTAAGCTTTATAGCTACCTGGAAAGCCAGGTGGCATCATGGCCGGTGGCATCATCATCGGCGGAGGCATATTGGTCGTTGGCATCATCATCGGTGGCGGCATATTTGTTGGCGGCATCATCATTGGCGGCGGCATATTGATGCCCATGGGTGGGGCCATCGGGAATTGTCCCCTAATGCCCATGCCCATGAGCCCCGGTGGCGGTACTCCCGGACCAGGTGGAGGGCCCACCGGACCACCGACTTGCCCCAGCGGCGGCGGTTGGGTCGTATCGATGCCAAACATCATACCGGGCGGCGGAACACCAACTCCTGGAGCACCAGCTGCCTCCGCAGCAGATTGACCCTTATTGTCCTTACCGGCGTTCTTTGCTTGGTTGATCTTCTGCTTCATTTGAATGGGCATGGTGTCCTCGTCAAACATGCCACCCTCTTCCAGGGCATCGAAGTCGGTATCCGGGCTGAGCTTGGACCAAGGAACGTAGGTGACGCCCAGCTCGAGGTCCCAGAAGTCCTTCCACTCCTTGCTCTTCACTCCCTTGCCGGCGGCCCACGAGATGGTGATGGCGCGTCCCTGCAGCTTGTGGTTTTTCAGCGCCTGCATGGCCTTGTGGGCGTCCTGGCGCCGATTCATTACAATGAAGGCGCATCCGCGCGGTACAATCTGGTCGATGCTCACTATGTCACCATACTCGCCAAAGGTGTCGGACAGCTCCTCCTGGTAAACGAGCTTGGACAGGTGGCCCACCCACAGGGTAGTGCTGCACACTGAAAGTCAAAAAGAATATAACACAAATTAGGATATGGTATGTAATCGTGTTGGGAGCTCATTTGCCTTGTTGAGGTGTGCGTTTCAAATCTTAAATTTAATCAAAATCTTGATACATTAATTTTAATGTAATTGTGGAACAGTCACTTTAAAAAGTCAATCATTGGTGATTATGAATATTATTTGAATATATTTCTCGACCGCAAATGGGGCCCCAAAAAAGGAAATCTGGTAATTTTGTAAATAATTACTTAAAGGGAGTTTCGATATTGTTAAGTTTTAGGCATGGCTTCAAACAAATTTGCGAGTCCCAAGACTCTTAATGTTTAATTATTGATAACAAAATCTTTCGGAAATCTCTGTGTGAAAATACATGTTATGAACTAATCTTTTTTAAAAATGTTTATGATTAAATTTGTTCTAATTGATTTGAACTAATAGTTCTCGACGATATATTGACAGAGAAATATTTTTTGGATATGATTATAATTTTTATACTCTCTTTTATTACTCTCTCTTCCAAAAATCGAAAAACTATGTGGTTCCTGACGTTATAATGACAGAGTAATATTTTTTTGGCAGAACCGATTTTGTATTAGAATTATCTATCTTAAAAATCAAAATCGGCTAATTTAATATTTAATAATTATTTTCAATACAAAACCATCCGAAGATCACATTTATTTATAAAAATGACACTAGACATTTTTTCTTGATCTGAATTATTTAAATGTGAATTTTAATTTCGTAAGGTTTTTGATTGAACGTGATATAAGTCTTCAAGGTTTTTTTGTAGTTTCATAAATTTGACCCGATACGTTTAATTGGCAGTATTTGGCATCTAAACTTTTATCTTAGATGTGTATAAAACAAGATATTCCTTATGTAAAATCATTGCTCGAAAACGCATATTTATAGAGTGAGGGGAGTTTAAAATATATTCCAGATACTAAGATCAAGAACCACTAAAGCAAAACACACACACACGTCAACAGAGACAAGGAGCTGCAGAGAAAAAGAAGGTCTTTTGAATTAGAAAAAAAAAGTAAAAAAAAAAAACATGATGCTAACAGAACTCAAAGAGCCTCATTACTTGAGCCCTTTGAGAACCATTTCTCGATTGGCCTTCATAGTTACCACTGAGGTGCTCCTTCTTGATGTCCGGCAATCCCTTCTTGCGTCGCTCGCGCTCGTGCTCGCGATCCCTCTCCTTGTCCCGGTTGTTCCTATCCATGCGATCCCGGTCCCGCGATCCTCGACGGCGGCTGGAGCGAGGTGATCGGCTGCGCGATCGGGAGCGAGAGCTGCGTCGCCGTCGGTCGTTGCCCGTTCCTCCACCGGCGCCACCGGCTCCTCGTCCACGCGGAGATCTCGAGCGGCTGCGACTGCTCCTGCGGCTGCGCTTGTAGCGTTCGCGGTCTGGCGTCGGACTGCGCGAATCGGCTCCATCCAGATTGATCACCTATCGGAGACGGGAGTGTTGGCAAGAAGTTTGAGAGAAGTGATACGTGATAAAAACGTTAACATTTTCGGTAAGAATAAAAATTGATTGGGTCCAGGATGGATGGAACGAAAGAGGGATTGGGATGGGGATTGAGGATGGATTAGTGGCTGGCCACAGGATATTATAGACTGAATAAACTGCATTCTTTGGCGTGTGTTGACGTGTGGTTCTGTTTCGCTTTAGACTTTGGTGATTCTCATAGTTCTTTCCGACTAATTGGCATTTTGCGTTTTCGAGCAACATTTTGATTTACATATTAGGAACTTACCAAACGTTGTTATATCTTCGGGTAACGGGTTGTTCCGCCGGAAATTACGTGGCTTTTAAAACCTTACCTTTGGCTTCTTCAATATATTTTTTAACCATTTACTTTTTCATTGACTTATTCAGATATTGGCAATTGTATTGTTAGGGACATTTATATCGATTTAAGGAACTGGTTAAGGCATCTTGACTAAATAGTTGTTCACAAACTAATAAAGTTAATTCTTTGAATCCTTAAAAATTTAGTGGTCGTTTTTTAAGTTATAAAAGGATAACTAATTATTAAATTAAATAAAACTCGAACACGCCGATACTCTATCGGTTATAACAACATTTTGGGCACATTTTCAGGTTTAACTGCACGTCAGCACAAGGCAAATGGCATCTCCCGCTTACAATCTAATATGTTTATGCTTTTAACCAACAACGACAACTTGGTCTTGGTAAAAAGCATACACAGAAAAGTCCCCAGGAACTAAGATAGTTAGGAAAAGTTGAAAGTTATACCTCAATGGTCTGTTGCTCCGATATAAACTCGACATCCTTGTTGAGGTCCATGCTGTCGTTCAAACTCATGCCCATGCCCATGCCCATTCCCATTCCCATGCCCGGCGGCATGCCAGCATTTCCCTGAAAATATATCATGTTGACAATAAGGATAACAGGGTAAGAAAATGCGACCAACCTTCATTACGTTCTGGAAATGCTGCTGCAGTGCCTCGTCCGGATAGCGATGCTTCTGGTTCTCCTCCTGCTGCTTGAACTTTTGGAAGTTGGTCAGCGTCTGCAGTTGCCGCAGCACATTGGGATCGTTCAGCAGCTGAGTGAGATCTTTCTTCTGCAAGAGTCGGTCAAGGATAGTTAATAAAAGGTTTGAACTATGGGGAGTAACTAGCAATAAACCGAAACAAAAACTAAAACTAAATGAAGGGTTAAAGGGGCTCGCCATACGTCTATTATCTTGGATGAGGTGGGCGGTGAATCGTCGCCCATGCAGTGGTGGTCATCGGCCATCATCATGCCGTTGTCGTCGTCCTCGATCATCTCGCGCACCTGGTAGTCGAGGTCGTGCGAGCTCTTCCCATAGTCCCGCTTGTGGTGATGCGACTTGCTAGACTTGGACGAGGAGCAAGAGGCGCCCGACTGGCGCTTCGAGTAGTGCTGCTCCGAGTAGTGGCGCTTGGAGCTGCTGCCGCCGCCGCTGAACTTCTCGTGGCCCAGCTAGCGATTGGTTAGTGCAGTTAGTGGGCAAGACATGAGAGACAGAGAGATGTAAATGCAGCCAAGAATGGTGAGATGAGATGGGTTAGTTAGCCGTAGACCAGTACCAAGTAATTCTAGTAGCCTCAACCGGAGTTTGGAGCTCGACTCACCGACAAATCGGGCATGGCCCCGCCCATCTTATCCTCGCCCATGGAGCTGTTCAGGCTGAGCTCCATGCCGGAGCTGTTGAGTCCATTGGGACCACTCGATATGTCCGCCAGGCTGAGGGATCCGCTGCCGCTGGGACCGGAACCCAGGCCGCCGCCCTGTCCACTGCCCACCGGCGGCATCTGGTGATAGATGGGGTGATTGGGGTCCGCCAGGTCGAAGATCGGCTGGATGACCTCCGACTTGAAGACGTTGTTCTTCTGCCACAGGTTCAGCACGCGGATGATGCGGCTCTTGTCCTCCGGAGCGCAGCGAAACAAGTTGGCAAAGGTCTCGGTGAGATTGCGCTGGAAGCGCGGGGCGAACAGGTCCTTGTCCATGCCGTACTGGTGGCGAGACTGCCGCACTATGGAGTCAATCACATACAGACCGGGCACCTTGTACTCCGGCTTGCACTTGAGGATGAACTTCTCCACGCTCTGGACGACGTGCTTGTACAGCTTGATGGCGCGCATCGCCGACTTGGTGATGGCGGCCATCTTGGCCTTGGAAATGGGCGGCCGGCTGTCATAGAGTCCGGAGAGCTAAAAAGGCAGGCAAAGATTAGTACGGGGTATATATAGTGTATAGTTTCTGCTGATTTCTGATTTCTGCGGACACGGGGTTATCGTTATCGGGTGCTCGCGAGAAAGCAACCCTGGTCGGTGAAAATTTCGGGGCTCTTCCTGCGCCTCGCACAGATCTCTGGGCTTCTCCCGGGCCCAGGGAGTCCTTGGCCCAATCCCGATCCGGGATTAGCGGGTTGTATAACCACGCCGGCTCTATAACTCACCTCATTGCAAAATGCTCTATAGCTTACCTCATTGTTGAAGGCAACCACTGTTTCCATGTTCGATTGTTCGGTTCACTCACGGCGCGCACACACAATCTTTAGTTTTGCATAATTCGGTTGGTCCACGCAATCGTTTGAAACTGGCCAAGCGCTATTTTGTTGACTTTTCTGCGGTTTCCACGGCTTTTAAAAAAACTTTTTACAAAGCGTGAAAAAAATGGCTGCCCTATAGCCTCGAGCGTTGCCACACCTGTAAAGTTGACAATTTCCATGGCATTTTCGGAAATTGTGCTGTTAGGCGCATGTTAACGGAGGTGTTGCCGTCTGTTGCCCTTAACATTTTGGTATATTTTGGTCCTTGAAAAATTATGAAAAACCAGTTATTTGGAATCCTTGAAAATAACTAGTTGCACGACCTTATTGTATTATCTTCTCATAACTGAAAAATTAAGTAAACAAATATTTTAGGCTTCCTGTTTTGTTGCTAAAAACTTTTTTGATATAAAAAACAGGTTAATTGTGCTCTCTATACATAATCTTTAGGCTAGTAAATTAGCTTTGCCTTTATAATTAGAAACATTTTAAATGAAATACATTTTTTGAATAGGCTACAGGTCGCCTTGTTATCGATAACAGGAGGTGCCAACTCTCCCTTGTTATCGACAACCGATAGGAGATGCAAACTGCAGCCACTTGGCAATCTGGCAACACTGCGCACCAAATAAATATATTATATTAATATTAAACAAAATGAGCTCCAACCACCGCCCCCTGGACGACTCGGACATCCTGCTGATCCAGACCATCCGCGAGACGCCGTCGCTGTACGACCCGCAGCTGCCCTCGTTCCGGCTCTCGCAGCGCAAGGAGGAGGACTGGGCCAAAGTGGCGGATGTGCTCAACATCTCGACCATGGACGCTCGGCGTCGCTGGACATGTTTGCGCGATCGCTACTCGCGGGAACTCAAGCAGAAGCGGCTGCATCCGTCCGGCGAGTTCGGCCACAACGACTTCTTCCGCAAGATGGACTTCCTGCGCGACTTTGTGCGGAAGCGTCGCGAGCGCCGGGGACGCGAATATCGCTTGGGTCGCGATCAGAAGCCAACCGGCTGGGTGAAGGTGGAAATGCAGCGACGACGGCGCATCCGTCTGCCCATGGACACCGAGTCCCTGATCGAGGAGCAGGGCTCGCACGGCTACGAGGAGGAGGAGGAGGAGGCCGAGGAGCAGCAGGACTACGATACGAAATTAGAGACACAGACCACCCATTCGGAGACCTCATATTCGGTGCTCGTGGAAGCGGACGATGGCCAGGAGCCGGAGCAGGACAGCTTCGAGGATTTCCTGGGCGACACGGAGTGCGAGCAGAAGGTCAAGGTGGTCACCATCCATCCGGAGGCAGCTGCTCCCAAGGCAATATCCGCACCGCCGTGTGAGCCCGTGGAGCCCATACAGCCGGAGGTCAACTATGTGGTCTGCATGCCGCCCAATGTGGGCCAGCCGGAGCGGGATAGCTCCGCGACAGAACTAGCCAATCCGCCGACTGTCGTCATCCCACAAAACACCTCGGAAACGGAGGATGACTTCTTCTGCAAATCGATCGCCGTTTACCTGCGGCAACTGTCGCGCGTGCACAAGATCAAGGCCAAGGTGGAGATGTACCAGATCCTCGAGAAGTACATAATGCTCGAGGAGAGCGGAGCGGCGACGGGTGCGGCAGGAGGAGGATCGAGCTAAACAGGATGCATGCATATGTACATAGGTTTAAACGTAGTTTTTTAATGCAGTACAAATATACAAAGTGACGAAAATCATGTTTTGAGCTTAATCTAACTATCTTAGCAGAAGTCCTCGTTGATTATGTTGGCATCGACGGCCAGTCCTCGTTCCTTGAGCGCCTTGGACACCAGGCGGTGCTTCTCCTGGCGCTGCTCCTGCTCCCTGCGCTGGGCGTCCAGGATTTCGTCGACGGATATCTCCTTGAGCGGCAGCTTCTGCTCCTTCTCGCGATCCTTTTTAGAAGTATTTAGGGAGTATTTAATCGGGTCATATTAAAGGTATAAACTAGTCTTACAATTTCGCCCAGGAGCACCACATTCTCGCCCCGAATGATGAAGACTCCACGTGGAATGTCGCCGTACTCGTTGCCCACATGTATCCGCTCGATGGTGCGCTGCAGCACCAGGTTGGCGAACTGATCCACGGATCGCAGGTAACCAATTAGGGTTCTTCCGTCCCTCAAGAGCACCATTAGCTTCTCTGTAAAGCGCCGGATTTCAGATTCCGCTGTTTAATGGGGGTCCCCTTCATCTACTCACTGTCGACCTCTTCCAGGAGGTGAGCCGTGCCCGCCAGAGGATTCAGATCGTCCATGGGAAGATTGGGAGGTAGTGATTTGTTTGGGTAAATAAATAGGTTCAAGTCACTGTGGTCTTAATTTTAGGGTTTAGTATTGATATGACCACCGCCCGACCGCTTAAAGATACCGCAGGCAGTTGGAAAAAATACTAAAACTATAAGAACACTGGTCAACAAAAGTTTGAACTTTAATGGAATGTTTGCAGTTACCTTTTTTAAAATTTAATATAGTTTTACTTTTTAAAGAACTTTGACTTTATATTATCTAATAATTTTATTATATATTTTTTGAAACATATTTTCTGCCTAGATACTGGCCAATATGAATAAGAAATATGCTCACTACAAAATGGAAATAATTTTTTTGTAGACCAGTGTCATATGGCATATTTAGTATATTTTAGAGAGACCTGCGGCAAATGTTAGCGGTCCGATTGACCGGTCACGCTTGTTTTGAAAGAAATAGGATTGCAGATAATCCTGAAATTCGCGCACAATGAAGTAGGTACATGGATAAGGTCAATGAGATCGCGTGGGTAACAATCCAATCCCCATCCACAGGCTCAGTGTGGACGGTTTGCTGGTGTACTTTCCGTACGAGTACATCTACCCGGAGCAGTATGCGTATATGCTGGAACTCAAGCGGAGTCTGGACGCCAAGGGCCACTGCCTGCTGGAGATGCCCTCGGGAACGGGCAAAACGGCCACCCTGCTCTCCCTGATCGTGGCCTACATGGTGGAGCATCCGGAGACGGTGCGCAAGCTGATCTACTGCTCCCGCACAGTGCCGGAGATCGAGAAGGTCATTGCCGAGCTGCAGAACCTGATGGTCTACTACGAACGCCACTGCCCCAATCCACCGCCACTCACGGGCCTGGTGCTTAGCTCCCGGAAGAACATGTGCATCCATCCGGAGGTCAGCAAGGAGCGCGAGGGCAAGGCGGTGGATGGCAAGTGCTACGGACTGACCGCTAGTTACATTCGCGACCGGCACGAGATGGACACCGAGACGCCCATCTGTAAGGATTTCTTATATCTATTCAAGGATAACAATGATCTTAAGTATATAATTTTCAGGCCAGTACTTCGAGGGATTCAGTCTGGAGGGCAAGGAGTCCACATTGCCAGTCGGCGTCTACAGCATCGATGATATGAAGGAGTACGGACGAGCGCGCAACTGGTGTCCCTACTTTTTGGCCCGCTATGCTGTGAGTTTTGGGATTCCACTTAATTCCAGTAGCTAATAGATGGAATCCTTACCAGATTGCCCATGCCCACATTGTGGTATACAGCTACCACTATCTGCTGGACCCCAAGATAGCCCAGGTGGTGTCCAAGGAGATGAGCAAGGAGTCCTGCGTGGTTTTCGATGAGGCGCACAACATCGACAACGTTTGCATCGATTCGATGAGTGTGAAGATCAACAGACGCACCGTGGAGCGCAGCACGAATGCCTTAAACCAGCTGACAAAACTGGTTCAGGAGTAAGTTGAGCAGTTAATTGGATTTATTGGCCGGATTTAAAAGGTATTATTGCAGCATTCGCGAAGAGGACACGAATCGCCTGAACGAGGAGTACCAGCGGATGGTCCAGGGCTTGAAGGATGCCAGTGTGCAGCGGGACACGGACATGATCCTGGCCAATCCGGTCCTGCCCAGCGATGTGCTGACCGAGGTGGTGCCCGGAAATATACGCAACGCCGATCACTTCCTCAGTTTCTTGCGCCGCTTTATAGAATATATAAAGACGAGACTGCGTGTCCATCATGTCGTTCAGGAGTCGCCGGCTGGCTTCCTCAAGGATATCTCCTCAAAGATTTGCATTGAGCGCAAGCCGCTGCGTTTCTGCGCCGAGCGCTTGTCCAGTCTGCTGCGCACGCTCGAGATCAGTGATTTGACCGAGTACGGAGCTCTCACTCTAGTGAGTTTTTAGCTATCCTATCATGAAACCTTGATTAATGTATAACCTATTTCTTAGATCACCCACTTTGCCACACTGGTGTCCACCTACACAAAGGGCTTTACCATTATAATAGAGCCCTTTGATGACAAGACGCCCACTGTTTCGAATCCTATACTGCACTTTAGTTGCCTGGACTCTTCTATAGCCATGGCTCCGGTATTTTCGCGTTTCCAAACTGTGGTCATCACCTCCGGCACTTTGTCGCCCATGGATATGTACCCGAAAATCCTCGACTTTGATCCCGTGGTCATGAGCAGCTTTACCATGACTCTGGCCCGTCCTTGTCTGCTACCCATGGTACTTTTAATACCACAATTTAAAAATATTGTCTTTTAAATAATCTTCTTTAATAGATTGTTTCCAAGGGCAACGACCAGGTGACCATTTCGTCCAAGTTTGAGACCCGAGAGGACACCGCCGTGATCCGAAACTACGGCCAGTTGCTGGTGGAGGTGGCCAAGACAGTGCCCGATGGCATTGTATGCTTCTTCACCTCCTACTTGTACCTGGAGTCCGTGGTGGCCTCCTGGTATGATCAGGGCATCGTAGACACCTTGCTGCGCTACAAGCTCTTGTTCATCGAGACTCAGGACAATGCCGAGACGAGCTACGCCCTGATGAACTATGTTAAGGTGAGATATATGCTTTCAGTTACACAAATAGCCAACGATATTGCTATGGCTTCTCACAAAATGTGCTTGACATAGCAACCTCGATCTCTTTATGATCCGCGCCCTTGGATGTGAGATCATGTTGATTTGATTAGAACAAAGGTATCTTACTTTACTATAAGGAAAAAAGATTTTCTAAAAATCCAATGGGGTGAAATAGTCATATATAACATTTATTAAATGAGTTTATTAAACAAGGAATAGAACTTGATATGAAAGCTGTATTAACTATTTTAAAAAATATTTGATTAGATTAGATAGTGTATATTTTTCTTTCACAATGATTTTACCACACCTTGTGGTTTTCAAATGCTAACCATTTCATGTTTAACCAATGTACGCTATCAATATACCTCCCAATGGGACTACAGGGTATACAAAGTTGACTAACCCCAACCAATGCACTCATTTCGACTTGCAGGCCTGCGATTGTGGTCGTGGAGCTGTGCTGCTGGCTGTGGCGCGTGGCAAGGTCTCAGAGGGTGTGGATTTCGACCATCATTATGGTCGCGCGGTGCTCATGTTCGGCATCCCCTACGTGTACACGCAGTCGCGGATTCTGAAGGCCCGGCTGGACTACCTGCGCGATCAGTTTCAGATACGTGAGAACGACTTCCTGACCTTCGACGCCATGCGCCATGCGGCCCAGTGCGTGGGAAGGGCGCTGCGCGGGAAGACGGACTACGGCATCATGATCTTCGCGGACAAGCGCTTCTCGCGGCACGACAAGCGCTCGCGTCTGCCCAAGTGGATCCAGGAGCACCTGGTGGACAGCTTCTGCAACCTGAGTACCGAGGAGGCCGTGCAGCTGGCCCGCCGTTGGCTGCGGCGCATGGCGCAACCGTTCACGCGGGAGGACCAGCTGGGCATCTCACTGCTGACCCTCGCCCAGCTGGAGAACATGGAGCAGGAGAAGCTGGAGCGGCAGGCCCAGGGCAAACAGGGCGTTGGCGGCGAGGTGCAGGAGCTGTGAGATGTGGGAGGTGCTCGGCCAACCGGCTCTTTGTCCGGCCGCCTTCCGGGAATAACTCAGGCCGCTGAGCCGTCAGCTAATGACATTGAATGCCATTAGCAGCGGATCACAACGGCAGTGCTGGAAAATTTAAAAGTAAAATTTGTTTTTTGGCTGCCATGCAAATCGGACGTAAATGTCCAATTAATGGCTAATTAATATTATTTATAATTTCGCAGGCATGACTAACTGTGGCCGCTCAAGGCGGCGAAAGGGCGCAAGCGCGGCGCGAGTTTTGCTCTTGCAGCTGTTTTCGTATCTATACCTGTGATTGTATCCGGATTAGTTAAGCTGCAAGTTTAGAGATAAACGTACTTTGTGAACTGCAATTGTTTAATATTGCAATCATGAAATACACTAGAAAACAAAGTAAGGAGTCGAAATGTAAAGTAAAAAATAAATCTTTTTTTGAAAATTCTTTCAATATTTGTATCTTAAGGGATGGTATTCAACCTAAAAAAAAGTGGTAAAAAAAAACTTCAAAGGGAATTTATTATTGTCAATGTCATAAAATTGTTATTTCCACACTCATGTTATGTTTCTGGTTATTTGTTTCTTTGTTTCTTTGTTCTAAACTATGCGTTTTATAACTGTACAATTTTCGTCTGAGAAGAAAATAGTCCGCAGTGGCCACCGCCAGTTATTGATAAGATTGGAAGTCGTCACTGCTAAATGTCCACCTACCTAAACAAATTTAGGTCGATGCAGGCAGGCCTGTGCACACATGTGTGACGTCAGGTCATAAAGGAATCCCACGATCGGTCACGTCCTGACACCATCTGCACGCGTACCTCGCGGGAATTTCGCTATTTTAAGGAGTTATCATGTCTGTAGCCACCTGGTATTGTTTTGATAGGATAAACCATGTATCTGATAAATGTAACCCAAAGTAGACCTAAGTAAATACCCTTTGACCCAAGAACATGTATATAAACCCCATGCAATATTCAATTAAATCAGTACGACAAAAACTCTTTGCGTATTCACTTCTCCGCAGCCCAATTTGTATTGAACTTATTGCGGCGACTATTGCCACTGGTATTGTACTTGAGGCACGCAACAAAAACTATTTCAGGATTTAATTTTGATCCAAACATTTGGTGACCCCCGACTTTGAATCGCAAATTATTCAAATTGAGACTACAATTTGAAGACGCATCATCAGATCAATTTTGATATAAATACATATCCGAAGAGATATATTTTGTTCAATTTTGAACGCACGCATAGATCATTTTTTGATCACAAACTTGAACCGCATTTTTTGTTCAACGTTTAACTTGAATTAACTAATTTCAACGCATCTGCAGTAATCACGGTAGTGATTAAAAGGTCAACAAGGCGACCAAAACTTAAAAAAAAAAAAATAAAAACGGCTCAGATTTGGTCAACTTGGCGAACCAAACTATATTTGATAACGTTCCATTTTTACATTTATTTTTTAAACCACGGTGTGAGTCGAGGCACATCATAACAAAATACCTCTAAAAGGTTTAATTTATAAAGTAATATGGCCTCATCAAATATTCAGCCCCTATTGGATGAGCAGAGTGCGCTGGGCGAGCGCATTCAAAGCCTAATAAGAAATTTTAAAAAAGATTCCGACTCAAGGAAAACTAAGCCTGCGTATTTCACAGAGCGATTAGCGAATATTGAAGGCCTGTGGTCTAATTTCGCTATTAGAGATGCCAAAATTCAGGAGATAGTTAAAGGAAAACCGATTGACAACGACTATTTCCTTAATAATTATTTCATTAAAATAAAAAATCTCGTGATTGAGTATAAAGAGATATTCAATACGAATCTCGCTACATTAGAATTGGAAACAAACTCGATTACATCTACCGAAGAGGATTTGGAAATCGAATCCATGTTCCGCGAGCAAAGGGCGCTAATAGACAGCCTGGAACGGATAATGAATAAAGTAACGCTCGAAACAAGCCATAATTTTCATTCAATTATAAATCAATATTGGAATGATATTAAAAACATTCATGTCCAAATTCATAAAAAATTTAAAAACCCGAAGGAATTGGGATACGACGATTCCCGATACCTGATGGCCGAAGACGCCATAGTGTCCTATCAAGTGGCATTCGGGGGAGGAAGGAATATGGCGACAGTACCCAGTTCCCCTACGACGGCAGCAGTGCCGCTGCCTAAGATAAAAATTCCAAAATTTGATGGAAATTATTTACAATGGCAACAATTCCATGATTTATTCAAGAAGATGATTCATGAATCTGCACTACCCATTATACAAAAAATGTGGTATTTAAAAACAAACCTGAATGGAGAGGCCGAACGGTTAATTCGTCACTTGTCGCTAACAGAAAATAATTACGCGACAGCATGGAAAATGTTGCAAGAGCGATATAACAACAGAAGAGTGCTATGTAATACTCTAATACAGAAATTGGTAGACTACGCACCCATGTCCCACGATGCAAAAGGGATAAAGACAATGCATGATAACATAAAAGAAACGTTATCTGCATTAAATAATATGGAAATCAAAACAGACAATTGGGATCCAATCCTTCTCCATATTTTAACGAAGAAATTGGATCGCCAAACACATCTGCTGTATGAACAATCAATTCCGGACACACGGAATTTGCAATCCATACAGGAATTTTTGGAGTTCCTGGAGCAACGGTTCCTAACACTAGAGGCCATCTCCTCCGATAAACCTAAAAAGACGGGCACGTGTGCTGCAGGAACGGAAGCACAATTCAATTGCTTCTTTTGCAAAAAACCAAATCATAGCATTTTTAAATGTAATGATTTCTTAAAAAAGACACCATCAGAGCGTCTCAACTGGACGCAGAAAAATAAATTATGCGTAAAATGCCTAAGTGCCAACCACACTGCCAAAACATGCACAAAGAGAGATTGCTTTAAGTGCAACAAAAAACATAATACGCTGCTACATTTGGAAAAGGTGGCTGATAATCTGGATGTAATTACTGCGGCGTCAGTAAGTGGAAAACAATCCAGCTATATATTGTTAGCCACTGCGAGAGTGATAATCCAAGGCAATAATGGACAAATGGCGGAATTCAGAGCACTATTAGACTCTGGATCCCAGATAAATGCAATTTCTGAAAGAGCAATTCAGAAATTGTCATTAAAAACCACCAACTCTATGCTCAAAATAAATGGCATAGGTGGTAGAGCACACACATCGAACTCGAGGGTAAATGTCGAGATAAAATCAAAACATGGAGATTTTACCTCCAGACTAGAAGCGATGGTAATGCCCCATATAGTTGCTGATCAGCCGACATATCCGATTTCAACAGAAAAGTGGAAGATCCCGAAAAACATTACGTTGGCTGACCCGAGTTTTGGAAGTCCAGGAAAGATTGACTTACTGATTGGAGCTGAACATTACTTCGAAATAATGCAATCCGAGAGCATAAACATCCAAAAGGGATTGCCAAGATTACAAAATACCAAGCTTGGCTGGATTGTAGCAGGAAAGATAGCTGATCAACGAACAACATCGGCTGTGTGTGCGGTACTAACGGAAGAAGAAAAGGTGGATGAACAACTGGTAAAGTTCTGGGAGCTGGATAATTTTCAACCAGACAGGAAATGTTACTCGCCAGTTGAGAAACAATGTGAGTCTCACTTTCTTCAAAACATTCAGCAAGCACAGGACTCCAGATTTATCGTCCAACTACCCTTTCTGGAGCATACATCAGCGCTGGGGGAGAGTCGTGACATTGCCACGCGACGATTCTTATCCCTGGAGAAACGATTGCAGAGAGATCAAGCGATCAAGCAAGGATATATTGATTTATTGAAGGAGTATGAAGTACTTGGGCACATGAAGGAAGTTCCTCTGGTAAATTTACCAAGGACACATTATTTCATACCGCATCATTGTGTCTTAAAACCTGAAAGTCACACAACGAAACTACGTGTTTTATTTCATGTACAAGCCGTAACGTCTTCAGGAAAATCATTAAATGATTTATTGCACAAAGGCCCAACAGTGCAAAGTACATTGATGTCTATACTATTACGGTTTAGAATACACAAATATGTATTCACTGCCGATATCGAAAAAATGTATAGACAAATCTGGATAAACCCGAAGGATCAACATTATCAAATGATAGTATGGAGAAACGACCCGTCAGAAGAATTAAAACACTATCGTTTGAAAACTGTTACGTATGGCACAAAATCAGCACCATACTTAGCAACAAAATGCTTGGAGCATTTGGCAAGTAAACAAATGCCGCACTATCCAGTTGGGTCCCATGCCCTGAAAAATGATTTTTACGTGGATGATTGCATCACTGGAGCAAATACAATTCCAGAAGCCCTTCAAATAAGAACTGAGCTGAACAAAATTTTGTTGAGTTCAGGCTTTAAATTGCGAAAATGGTGCGCAAATAGCAACCAACTTCTACAGGGATTGAATAAGGAAGATATCATCCCTGAAGTTCAATTGGAAGATACTGCATATGAGGATTGCAGCGTCAAAACTCTTGGAATTATCTGGAATCCCAAGATTGATAAACTTTGCGGCAAAACACAAATTGCCACAAACACTAAAATAACGAGACGCGACGTGGTCTCGGAAATATTTAAAATATTTGATCCTCTTGGACTATTCTCTCCAGTAGTCATAAAGGCCAAAATATTTATGCAAGGCCTGACCAAGGAGAAATTTGAATACAATGAGGAACTACCGGAAAAACTACAGAAACAATGGATTGCATTCCGAGAAAGCTTACAGTCTTTAAATGAAATAAAAATTTCACGACACGTCTTCGAAGGCAAAATACCCACGATGAAGGAAATTCACACATTTGTGGATGCTTCAGAAAATGCGTATGCAGCGGCCGTATATCTTCGTGCAGTTCACAAAGACAAGAGGGTGACTGTACAATTGCTATGTGCTAAATCGCATTTAGCTCCAGTAAAAGCGATCACCCTTCCTCGACTGGAATTGAAGGCAGCAGTACTAGGTGCACAACTGACGTCTACAGTGAAAGAACAGCTCTCAATGCAAGAAATTCCTACATATTTCTGGGCAGATTCGGAAATTGTTCTGTCTTGGATAAATAGCTCCACCACAATAAAGGATAAATTTGTGGCGACAAGAATCACGACGATCCAGGAAACATCGCTACAAAAGGAATGGAGACATGTCCCATCTGAGCAGAACGCCGCGGATGTAGCATCAAGAGGAATATGTGGCTCTAAATTTGCAAGTCACAGCCTTTGGTTTTTTGGCCCACTATTCTTATATGGACCACCATCAACATGGCCGGCTCCGTTTATTGCTTCCAAAATTGAACGTCTGGCTAAACCTGCTGAAACATCGTTAGGAGCAGTTAAGGATGATGAGTTT